AAGAAGGGAAAGAAAAAAGGAAGGAAAAAAAGGAAGAAAAAAAGAAAAGAAATGCCAAATAAAGCACCATAATGCCAAACCAAACCAAAACAACAACAACAAAAAACCAAAACACCAAAAGTATCATTGAGTTTATTTTGTGTTGGCCATCTGCTTTAGGGCATGTGGCCTGGCCTTAAGAGTGGTTTGTAGACTCAATGATATTCCATTGGAGAAAACATTTTTTTTTTCATTTTCAAGTGGTTTTTCAATTTATAACTTTAATTTTTTTCACCGCCTACTTTTGATGGTGGCTCTTAAATGCTTTAACCTCCCTTCTAGCCCACCACCCACCAGAGATAGTGGAAAAGAAAGGATATGGGGGAAGCAGACATGTTTAGAAAGGTTCTTTGGAGCAAATCCTATCTGCATTGTCAGGGAGTCATGAGTTCAATTCACAGGTCAGCAATGGCAGCTTGATCCACTTGCAAACACTTCATGGACACACCAGCAGTCCAGTTAGATGAGTCAGGATAGCAAACATGAATCAGCAGCTGTTGCATGACCCAGGCGTCAGCCTCAGCGTGAGTCAGTAGGAGGGACCAGGGACAACAGGAGCACCAGGAAAAGTTCTCTGCTGTGCCTCTCTCAGTGAAGTAAAGATCAGGGAAAATTCAAGACCAATAAGTGTTGCACAGCTAGCTCTATGAGCAAGCCTAGCCCAACCGCCTTCACTGCCTATAGTCCTCCAAACATCAGGTGTCCTCCACAGGTTTTGCCTTGGCATGTGAGTCTGTCTCAGCTGACATCAGTCTGCCAATCAGCCTTAGTCTGCAGAAGTGGCAAGAAGCCACCCGCACACCACTAGAAGTTTTTTGGTGTGTTTCTCTCCATGGAGTCCCAACAAAAGGAGCTCAACTATGAAATGTAAGGCAGACCAATAAATGTGTGTCATTCGTGTGAAGAATCCTCTATCATGTGTCCTTTCATGTGCTTGCTTTAGCAGAACATCCTTTCACCTGCGTCTGCTTCAGGGAAACATTCTTTCATGTGTTTGCCCCAGCAAAACACCATCCAACACAACTGACTTTTCAAAGAACCCTTAAGTTTCCACTTCATCAATTGGAAATAGTTTCTGGGTTAAGGATGTGGGTTTGTATCCACTTCCACTCTCAGCAATAGGACCTCATTAGGCTCAGACCAGACCAGTCATATGTGCATTGGTCCTGTTGTGTTTAGAAGACTTTGTTTCCTTAGCGTCCTCTATCCTTCTGGCCCTTAAAGTTGTCCTGTCTCCTCTTCTGAAGGTTTCCCTGAGCAATGAGGGAGGGGACTTGATGGAAACATCCTATTTAAAGCTGACTGTTCCAAGGTCTGTTGCTCTGCATATTGTCTAGGTGTGGGTCTCTGTTTATTCCCGTCTACTGCAGGAGGAAGCTTCTCGGATGATGGCTAAGAAGGACACTGACCTATGAGTACAGCAGAACGTTGCTAGGAGTCATTTTACCGCTACATTCCTTTAGTAGAACAGTAGTATTTGGTTTCGCCCCAGGTCCCTGGGTTATCTAGTCTGAGGTTCTTGGCCACCCAAGCACTGTCCAGGATGGGTTCTATCTCACTGAGTGGGCGTTAAATCCAATCAGATAATTGGTTGGTTACTCCCATAAGCTCTGGACCACTGTTAACACTAGTGCATCTTGCATGCAGATCAGTGCTTGTTATACCCAGATTGTAAGGTTCCCACAGACCAACAGAGACCACCAGGAGTCCAACTCGGATGCAGAGGCTAAGAGTCTTTATTCAAGCTCGAGCTCCAACCCTTCAACCTTTCCAATGCAGTGGATCAGTGTGGAAGGTGCTGAGCTGGTACAAGCCTTGCCTATTTATCATGGCTGTTGTAGTTGGGACTTTCCAACTTAGCAGTTACAAGATTGATTGACATTTGCTTGGCATATTTCTATCGGCTAGTAATGATTTTAGTTTGGAATGAACAATAGTTGCTAACTTACTTAATTTACTTTAAGACTTCAGTACTTTCCCCTTAAGAACTAATTGGTTGTTGCTAGTTGTAGAGTGGCTATTTGCTCAGGGTAATTGTGATTGTTGCCAGGGTAAAGTTGGTTTTTTCCAGTATCTAAGTTCATTCTGAGGGCAAGTTAATCATAGAAATGGAGTCTGAAAGTAAAATGGAGTTTGTAATGTTAAGCTGGGCCCTTCACACTGTAGATCAAAGGGTTTGTAGTTAGTTGGGTTGGTGTTTACCTTTGTCCTTTGGTAGCATGTGGTGTAGCTTCCAGTTCTCTGAATACTAGTCAGCAGGGCTGAAGGCTCTAGCTTAACTTCTCCAAGTTCAATGAGTTGGATAGGTGTTGTCTTTACCAATAGGGCTTTAACATCAGTTTGTGGAACAGCCTGTAGCCGCCCGCAGCCACGAGTCAAACGGGTTCACCTGAAAAGAGGGCTGGGAGCGAAAGGAAGACTGAGGGTGAGAAGAGATGAAGCCAAGACAGAGTTCTCTGATCAAGACTCGATGCTTCAATGTTCAGCTCTCAATTTAAAGGGAAAGACCCCGTCTGAACCCTTCCTAGTTTCAGCCAGGAGAGATGGGTGGGATAATCCGTTCTTGGTCTCAGGTCACGGCTGAAGACGTCTCAAGGCAAGCCCAGGGGCAGTTCTTCTTTGAAGTTCCTGTAGCAGGCTGTACTTGCAGCCAAGGTGGGTAGTTCCACCTAGGTCCTATTATTTGGTCTGTTGTGGTAAACAAGGTCTCTCAGGCCTGCTCAAGGCTGGGGAAGGGCACAATAGCCTTGGCAACAACCTGAGTTATTTGGGAGTTCCTATGGGGTCCCCATGGGCAACAATTCAATTAGATGTAACTCATTCCCAAAACTGGAGTCTTCATTTAGTGATGAGAAATGTCCAGCTAGGGTCCTTTCTCCCCCATTATTTAGCAATTCCATGTAGATCGTCAAAGTAGTCTGAGGTGGCATTTGTGGTCTCTTAAGAGTTTGTACAACATCTATCCAGGTTCTTTTGGCTTTTAGAATCTCCATCAAAAAGTAAGATGTTATTCTAATATGTCTATTTTTATGTTACTTTGTCATTTCCCTTGCAACTTTTAATATTCTTTGTTTTATATGTTTAATGTTTTGGTTATTATGTTTCATGGGGAATTTTTTTGATTCAGTCTATTTGATGTTCTGTATGCTTCTTGTATTTTTATAGTTCCCCTTCTTTAGATTTGGGAAATATACTTCTATGATTTTGTCGAAAATATTTTCTGTGCCTTTGACCTGGATTTCTTCTCTTTCATCTATTCCTATTATTCTTAGATTTGGTCTTTTTTTGTAGTGTCTCAGATTTCCTAGATGTTTGATTTTTTTTTTTTAGATTTAAAATTTTCTTTGACTAAGGTATTCATTTTTTAAAAAAATTGTGTCTTCAATTCCTGGGATTCTTCCATTTCTTGTATACTGTTGGTGAGGCTTGCCCCCAAAGTTCCTGTTTGAGTTCTTAATTTTTTTATTAATTATTTTATTTATTTACATTTCAAATGTTATCCCCCTTCTCAGTACCCCTCCCATGAGCCCCCCACCCATCACTCTCCCCTTCACCTCTAAGAGGATGCTCTTCCACCTACCCACTCATACCAACCTCATCCCTCTAGCATCCCCCTTCCCTGGGGTCTCAAGCCTCCACAGGAGCAAGTGCAGCCCCTTCTACTGAGGCCAGACAAGGCAGTCCTCTGCTACATATGTAGTGGGGGCCTCAGACCAGCCCATGTATAATCTTTGGTTGGTGAGTTAGTCCCTAAGAGCTCTGAGGGGTCCGGTTAGTTGATATTGTTGTTTTTCCTATGGGGTTGCAATCCCCTTTAGCTCCTTCAGTCCTTCCCCTAACTCTTCCATAGGGTTCCCTGAGCTCCAACCAATGGTTGGCTGTAAATATCTGCATTTGTCTCAGTCAGGTGCTGGTAGAGCCTCTCAGGGGACAGATATTCCAGCCTCCTGTCTGCTAGTACAACATGGCATCAGCAGTAGTGTTGGGGTTGGTGCCTGTACATAGAATGGATCCCAAGTTGGGGGCGTGTGGATCTCTGGATGGCCTTTCCTTCAGTCTTTGCTCTATTTTTGTCCCTGTGTTTCCTTTAGATAGCAACAATTCTGGTCAAAAGTTTTGAAATGGGTGAGTGGTCCCAGAGTTCCTAAATTTTTTTATTTTCAGTTTTACCTCAGTTTGGGTTTTCTTTATTGAATTTGTTTCAACTTTCATGTCTTTTTTTTTTTTGAAGACACATTCCAAATTTTATTTACATTTTAAGACTAACTTTCATCTCAAAATCACACATCCATAAAGCTATTTCCTTTTTGTTCACTTCACTTAAAACTTCTAAGCATGTTTTATTAAACAAAGACTGTGAACAAATTATGTCTGTTACACGTAACAAACGGGAACAGCTTTTAACAGAAATTCAAAATCCCAAACATCTTTTTATTATAAATACAGGTATCAAAACAATCCTGAACCTATTTTAGATACCAGTAGTAGTCAGTACCCATACTGCTTCAAGAATTAACACAATTGGTGACTAGTCATTCTATCTGCTACTTTAGACAATTCCAACTGCAGCTCTAAATATGATGGATAAAACATGCCATTTCTGTTCTTCCATCTTGAGACTTTACTTTTCAGAAAAACAAAGGTTTCCATGGCCATCTGACAGTTTTTTAACATGCTCCTGTCTTGAAAACCTGAATTCCACTTTGAGTACTTCAGGTTCATGTTTAAACGACAGTGCTTTAAGAGGACAAAAAAAAAAATTTGTGCTGCACTTCTCTTGTTACCTGAAAACATAATAGGTGTACATATATTAAATATATTCTTACAACTGTCCAGGTCATGTTTACCAGCCGCAATTCTTTTACTTAATGTGTGGGTATTTTGCACGGTGATATTTAATCAAGACAATAACATGAGTTGTTGAATTAAGACAAGTTTGAGATCCACTAAAATTAGTTGTTTTACGTCTGTCCTTCTGGTGGCTGTGGAAGCTTCATATTTTCTTTGGACATCATAAGATGTCTTAGCTCTTGAAGTACAACTTTAATGCTATAGGAACTTTGCCATTTTGCTAATACTGGTATGCTCCGTGCATCCACCGTTCCACTGGAATTATTGATTCCATTCATATTAATTTTTGTTACAAATCTAACTGATGGAGGAGCTTCTGGGTATTTAGATTCACATTCTACTTTCAGGCTATATATTCTGTTTTCATAGTTTGTCCTTGGTGGCCCAATAATCATGCCTGTCCACCTTGTAAGTGTCATGTCTTCATCATCTTCAAGGCCCCAGCTAACCGTACCATCACCTACTCCTTTTTGTCCTTCTTCAAGTTCTTCCAACAAGCGAAAATTACGAGGAACTTTAACTCCTGTGGAGACCGGCATCTTCTCCTGCTCCCAGACCCACTGCCGCATACAGGACGTCACGAGTCACTTCCGGCAGCACGCTGCTCTCCGTCATAGAGAGACTGATAGTGAGGACTGTTCCAGTTTCGTGTTCCTGGCAAGATTTGTCCTGATGGTCTCTAGAACTCTTGATTCCACAGTTGTCACAATCAAAGCAAACACACACACACACACACACACACACACACACACACACACACACC